TGGAAGAATCAAGCTTTCCGATGGTCTTCGGCAAGGAGGTTTGGCTTGGCAGTTTGGCATCGCGAAGTGGCTCCCGTTCAAATCTTTTCCAGGTGTTTTCTGTCCCTTTCGTCGATTGAAGTGCAATGCAGAATCAACTACGACGGCAACCACGACGACGACGAACACGACGACTACAAAGCCGCAGCAAATGCTATGCGATGCATGCGCTACTACAGCCCATGCTTCAGTGGGGCCCTCTCGTGCCGTCGACACCATGTACGGCAGCCGTGAGCGCACCCCGAGCTTAAAACTGCTCCTCTAGTTTATTTTAGCAATACATAGCCTGCAAGGGTCGCCTTTGCTGGGTACTGCATGGCGGTTATTTCTGCTTACTGGTTCCTTCGAACTTCAACTTCTGTGGTGGGAAACTAACACGGCAAACCAAATGCTCGCGGCGCATAAAATACCGGCATAGCCGCAAACGACGTCACATGCAACCTCACCAGCCAGTTTCATTTCGCCGCCGCTGCCGCAATGCATGAGGGAACGTCTTTTTGCACGTAAAATAACCTCGCTGGAGCATTGCGCGCGCAGAGCACGAGATGGCACGACCCGTCTCGTGCACTGCCGCCAGCCTCCCGCAAACTAGGTTTATGGTAGCGTCAGGCATGCGTGAATCGCTTAGTGAGATCGGTCGTTTAGGGACTTTTAGCAAGTCCTTACCGGTGTTCTGCTTACTGCACTACGGAAGCCTTTGATGCATGCTTTTAAGCGGCCGTCCGGTGATACCGTGACCGCAAGGTGCGCGCTTACAAGCATCATTCAAAGATTCCGGTATTGCGGTACGCAGAACACGGTAACGGTTTGCTAAAAGTCCCTTATGTGTTACACGTAAAACGTCCTGATATCGCTCCGGAGCGTTACCGAGCCCGGCATGCGCACTTGACAGTAGTTCCTGGATTGAAGATATTGGCGCTAGTCGGGTTTTAAAGCCCGGTGTTTTTCCAGAACATCCCTTACTTAGCGGAACCACCCAATCAGCGTTGATTACGTGACTTTTCCACCAATGAATAAGCGTCGAGCTTCGCGTTAGAATTTTTGGGTTTCACTGATTTTGGTCTACCGTGGCGAGGAGTCAACATGATACAATATAGTAAAGCCCCTTCATGTTTCAAAAGTAGCGCAAGCTTCGTCGATGCACGAGGCACGTGCTACGTGCAGCCCTTGGGAAGATCATGGTGGCACAGCGCAGCACTGAGCTAGATTTTAGACGCCATGAATTTCCCAGAAGTGGCGCGCGGTACGTGCCTTGAGCATTTCTACAGCAATGAATGGCGCCACTTTTCCCAGGAGAGGGGCTCTAGCAGTAGGAGTAGGACGTATACAGTGCGCGTCGCTCTCAAGTTTGTTTTGATCGAAAAGAGCGCGTTTCACAGACACGGAAGCGCAAATGCATTTTTTAGCTCCGACTACTCAGGTGCCATCATCGAAACCAGTCGCGTTTTCGGATCACAGATGAACAGCCACTGTGTTGCCAGCCTGCGCCTTTGGTGACGAGTCGAATCTGTCACACGTCAATATGACTGACGAGCCTGACGAGATGCCGCGAGGAGAGCATGGTTAGAGTGTACTAGCATGGTCAGGAACGCGACGAACTGACCAACTGACCACGACCAAAAGTAGGTCGTGGTCAGGACCAGATAACACCGCCTTGTGCCTTGCGCGCCTTCGGTTGATATGCGGATTCGCAACTTTCACGGTCTTTAGGGGGCGCACTATATTTCCTATAAAAATGACTGTCATCTGGATGATCGTCGTCGTAGAACAGTAGCACGAGGCTGGGTCTGCGACGCGTAAGGCATTCTAATTATGTGAAATGCGAGCGCTAAGCCTTACCTTATACTTCCACGTCAAAAAGGTGGAAGCGAGCATTTTCATCCTGAAACCGACTATCCTGGAGCTATAGGGAGCACGATTTTCACCAGCGGTACCACGATCCCTGAGAATTGCAAATACCGAACATAGAAAAAAAAAATCTTTGTGCAGCGTGGCGAAGTCAAACCCCGAGGAAACGCTATAGACGCTTTACACACGCGTCAGAATACAGCCGCCATTGCTGACCTTCTCTTGTTTTACCGAGATACCGAGCCACTGAAATTGGTGTGGACGAGCCTCCACAAAAGCCAATGCTGTGGAGAAAGACAGAATAAAATCTAAGATGGCAATAACCTGGCCTGCTATGGTAATAATGAAGTGAAGTAAACGTAATAAGGGGAAACAAAAACTGAAGGTCAGTTATGGCGCTGCCCATGCACAGCTGCTGCAAAGCGTCTATACGGCCGCGGACATGTACACAATAAGGTGAGCGCTGGCACCCTCTTCTGTGGGCAGGTCTGGATTATGGTAGGCCGTTGTGATTATCATACACTCGCGTGAGGGTAAACAGCAGACTCACTGGCCGTGTTCCAAATTTCATCCAAATGGATCCGAGTTACTCCGGCGGTTCGTGTCACGTGACGACACAGATTGAAAAGTGCTGGACGCGGGTAGGTTTTGGAACGCCAAGGTACAAAACCTTTACCCTGGAGTAAGATCGAGTAAATTTTGGAACACGGCCACTGTATTAGCAGCGAGATGTTTCGGTGGCGCCCTCTTATGGTTTCCATTCGTGACGTCACGACTGGGATTTGCTTCGCCGTGACGTCACCAGTTGTTATCCTGGCTACTTACCATCAGGTGCGACGACGAGTTTGGTGGTGTGTTTAAAAAGCACTGTGGAAGCTGGGAACCATCGCAATCCGAAACAGATACCGTCAAAGTTTACAATCTGACAATGCTCATATGGCCATGGTTTGACCAATCGTGGAAAGCTGACTGCAGCGACGCTTTTGGTCGCGCACATCGCTAATAGGGAGTATTTACAGGCAGTCATTGCTGCGTGCGCGACGGCTGAGTGCGTACTGTTTCCAAGCTTCCACAGTTCTTTCGCCACGTACATTCCGCACCATCAAGATGGCCGGTCTTAGCGGACTATTAAGGTGAGCTCATTCTTATCGTGCGCTCTAAACATCGCCCTCAAATATGGCGTCCAGTGAATACCTCCTTTTGCTTGCCTTTAGAAAGTGCGTTGGTTCTTTCAGGGTTTTCTTGTGTCCCTACTACAGTGTTCCCTACAAATTATCGTGACATTTTGTCAGTCGCCGGAACCTTTTATTCTTTTGTTCTTTGGTTCTTATCTGCCACAGATGTGTGTCTCCTTGTGTGGTTGTGGGTCTATTGAAGGATGTGGTCTGAAAAATAGATCTTTAGCTGCATTTCGAGTTTCGCGTTTCTCCGTCCCTTTTTGTCCCCTCGCTCCAACGTAACTATGTCTGTTGCCGACGTGAGCGATCAAAAGCGTCGCTGTGGTCGGCCCACCACAATTCGCCGAATGCTGACTATGACGTCAGTAAAGGATGTCTCATCGACGGATATAAAAGGAATGTAAGAACTTCAATTCTGACGGTGTTGGCAGTGTTGCTTTGAGAGCGCTAGGATTTCAGGCTTCCACCATGCCCATTACAAACACCATCGAACTTGTTGCTCACAAGGTAATGACGTAACGAAAGGTAACCGAACGAGGGTGCCGCAGAAACATCTCGCCGCTAATACTTAACCAGCTCGACTGCCTACTTTCTTTAGCTTTAAGAAAACCCTATTCGGGGACATTTTTCTGCGACTTTGCTGGCTTTGCAGATAGAGCTACGGGTGCATGGGTGCTAGGGGAACGGTGGCCTTGTCTGCTAGCGCACACCAGCTCGGAGCGTGTGGAGTGAAAGCTCGCGCTGCCTGGGTTCAACCCCGGGCCCTGCCCGCTTCGATCTGAATGACCATCGTACCGGCGTGCGGTTGTGTATCTCTACTGCGTGGTGCACGTTAAAGACCCCAGGCTTCCGGTTGTACGGCACTGGCTAAATTTCTCATCTACAACTGGGAGACTCGTCGCCCGTCGGGGCAGACCACACAACCCAGTTTTTTTTTTATTTTGCATGGGCGCTCGAGCAGCCTGAGCGCCGATCAAAGATTCACACGCGCTCCCTTCTCTTCCTACATTTTGTGGCCGGACTGTTCTCGTGCCTCGGCGTCAATACTCGGCAGCATTGCCTGTGGAACGGCGATATTCCCCACCTTCTTCAAAACCAGGTGAGACAGAAGAGCTTGGGATAATTCACTATGAGCCTGGCCAGAATATCACATTTATGCCTTGCGTCAGAATAGAAAGTGGTGAGAAGATTGAAGACAGCATCCCAGGGTTCATGTCCTAGATTAAGAACGTTTGGAACGCCGCGGAAATGAACTGTGTGTTAATTGAGGTCATCCGCGAATGTTCGAGGTAGAACTAAAATCTCGTTTAACCTGCGTCCACATGCAGAATTTCCCTTCATTGTAAAGGGGCGGACACCTGGGACGGCATTTTAATCTTCCAAGAGGCGATCGGTAGGGACCTCAATAGTCTTCTTGATGTGCTGCCATTCTTTGTAGTCCTCAGCCCATGCCGCAGGCCAACACAAGCCCTAAATGACGGTTTAGAACCTATCAAATCTTTGGCTGAATCCTCAAGATGCATTTTTACGTGTTTCAAGCAAAAAGTAGGAAATACTATTGAGCCAGAAAATCATGGCCACCATAAAGAGGTGGTTCAGACATCTGTGCTAGTTCTGTTTGCAGCAAGGGAAGCAACAGTAATGCCACAGTCAACCGTACAACCTGGCAAAGCTACTTCCTGGATAGCATGCTGCGCTCCGTATACGGAGAGCACTTGTCTCGGTAACTGTGCTTCTGAATGCAAACTGTCTGAACCAAAGAACAGTGTTGATGGAATGGGTTTCGTCGCTCGCGAGCTACTTACCAGAGAAAGGAAACATACCGGGTGGACCTCTTCTTTACTCGTGAATAATTTTCGCAGCTACACATTGGATTGGTTGCGCCACGCGACATAAGAAGCATGGTCGTCCCGTCGATTTTGTCGGGCTGTTTCTTTAGTTGCTGTCAATGCAACCGAAATAAATGTCAGTTAAGGTGTCTAGACGAGTAAAAACAAAACAGATTAGTCGTTAGTTGTTTATACAGCAGGAGTTTACTCTGTTAGGACATGGCAACATTGTTACCCACTGTAGATTAGCAATTTAGCCAATGCAGTACGAATTCTAGCCTGGGTTCTGCAGCGCGAGCTTTTCCTCTATGTGCTCCAAGCTGGTGTGCGCTAGCCCATGTACTCGGCCACCGATCCCCTTCTAGACGAGTACACGCTGGGACACACTATAGGTGGTATTCAATGGACGCCATATCTGAGGTGACTGCTCACAGCGCATGCTCGGGATGGGTTTATTATTTATGATCTCCCAAAGAAGAGAATTTTGATGGTGTGCATTGTGTGTGCTGGAAGCGTTGTGGAAGCCTGCCGTTAGCACGTGCCCAGCAGCAGCGAGCTCAGCTAAGGCCACCAGAGAATACCACCTATAGGCTGATAGACTGACTCGAAAATAATAAAAGACGAGCAAAAGACAGGGATAGTGTTAAGTAACGAAGAATCTTGTTTGTAATACGTAAGATTTGTTTTAGAAATTTTTATCTTTCTATAGTTGCGTCGGCATTGTTTTCTTGTTTTTTTTTTTAGCTGCCTACGTTTGTGTCGGCATTTTTGGGCGTTTGCTGTACGCTCGAGGGGAACATGGACGGGAAATCGTCTTCCACCCCCACGCGCGGGGGGCTTCGAGCAGCCGCGGGGCTCGGCAAAGACGAGTCGGACCCCGGTCGTTAAGAAACGGATTGGGCAGAGGTACTTCTGTCCGCACTTGTGGCTTTTAAGCGAATGTGCCTGTGTGCGGTGTATTTCGCCGCTTAGTGTAGAAACTCCTCTTTTAATCGACGCAATAACTTAACTGGGTGCGCCAGCCAGGCGGCGAGGAAAGCATAGTGACTCTCCAAAGAATTTGGGTTTGACCGTTGAGGTGTCGTAGGGGGGTCACGTTGACAGCTTTCTGATCATTGGGAAAGAGTGTACTACGTGACAATGGGCAAATTTGAAGTGATTGGTTCGTCTCTGGAAGGAAAGGAGGCCTCTACGAGTCTAGGAAAGGGGTGCCGAGAGGATTCTCGGAGATTCGGCTTTTGGGATCAGGGAAATTCGGCTCTTGAGACTGGGGACTAAAGCATGGGTTTTAATTTTGGAAGTTTTGTATTGTAAATTACTGTTGACTTTTCGTTTTGTTTTGAAATTAACGTGGCCACACTGGCCATCGTAAACCAACCAACGTCGTCATGTGGCCAGCGGGATCGAACAACATTTAGTGTTTTTTCTTTTCTTATTCGACTTCCCGGGGGACTTCCATCGGGCGAACACCATCATCGGTCGTCACCATCCTGACCGGTTCCCTCCCCTCGGAAAGTTGACTGATAGCACAGACCAATAGAACTGCGAGTTACTGTAACAATGTCTCACCGCCGGAGAATTTTGTTTACCGGACCTGTTCCGACAGTATGGATCCGTAAGTTGGTGTCAGCGTGGAAGGTTCTTTTCCGACCAATTTTATTCATTTATTCATGGTACCTCAAAGACCCAATTAAGGGCGTTACATGAGGAGGGGTACATTCAGGGTAAGTATCAATCAAAGCAAAAGAATAGAAACAAAGTAAAAAGAACAAAAAAATGAAGCACACACACACACACACACGCACACAGATACACACACACGCTCCGAGGAAAAAGAATCTTGGATTACAGGGAAAGAAAGCAAATGCAAAGCGAAAGTATGTAGATAAAAGAAAACTGATGTGAAAATGAAGTTATAATGCTAGCATGCGTGACAAGAACCTAAAAAACAATGATTCAAACTAAATGATTACAAACAAACGATAACAATGACAATACAAAAAAAAATGCACTTTGACGCAAAAATGACAGAGTAAAAAAGGCAATAGAACAACAGAACAGCAAACAGACTTTTGCCATGGTTTAGCTTAGATATTGCGAGCCGACCACTGTTTATGATAGCGCCTGAGAGTAGCACCTATCCCTAGTCCCAGATCTACCAGACAAGGTAAATTTCTGACCGCGGCTATCATTTCTGCAAACAGAAAGAGTTGGTCTTTTGACGTCCAACCAAAATCGCGATTACACGGCGTCCTCTTAGCAATAGACTTAACGTCAGAAGTCACGAGCATGGCGCTTGCTGCGGCAATTAAAGGCCATCGAGCTGGTAATATTCCTAGGGATAACCCTCCTACAATACTAAACGACGTTATGAACGCCGTTATGAACGTTATGGACGTTGTGAACGTATTAGTCGTTACGGACGTTATGGACCTATTAGCATGTCAGCGCCATGAGCTCGGCAGCAAAAGGTCACTGCACTCAAAAGGACATGGAGGCCGCTGTCCTCATGACGAGGTCGTTGACAGTTCGCCGTGACGTCTCCGCATCTCGTCTTCGAACACGTTCATTCTGTTCACGCATAACAGCACTGAAGGGGTACCAGACATCATTCACGTCCCAAACGCCAAAAAAAAAGTCACCTTCGTGGGCTACGACTTTATGTCTTATTTGTCGAGACGCGTACACCATTCACACCCAGCACTGCTAAGATTCATATGGCTAACAATGCTACACATGCAGTCTTACATCGTAGTCGTCAGTTCAGTCACTGACAGCTTGAGAAACTGTGTGCACAAATAAAAAACCGTGTTCACGGTTTTTTATTTGTGCGTGTTTTGTTCTTCAGCGTTCTAATCGTATAATGCCAAGATCTCATTGGCTGCCGAGCCATAATTAGATGCGCAGGACTCGCCACTCCTTGCGTTCCTTAGCTGATAACTGTCTTTAGTCACCACCTACAAGACAGAACGATTATTCTCGGGAACTTTTATTCACTCTTGTACCCGCATCTTGCCTTGATGCAATGGCGAGTGGATTTAGCGCAACGATATTAGAACTTCGACGGCATCGACCTTTGTGAACTTGTAGCTTGCTCGTGAGATAATTCGAAATGCTGGAGGGCCTTTCTATGCGCCGGATTAGATGTTAAAATGAGATCTGGTAAACATACACCACGATTTCAGTGCCGCACTGGATAAGGCGCTTATGGAAAAACAAGGGATTGTGTCTTTTTTCATCTCGCCTTCCGTAGGTGGTCAGAATTCGTTATCCTCCATTGAAATATTGTGGATACTGTACCAGCTGGTCGTGAGTCGCAGCTGTACGTTAAGTTTTCTTAACTTATAAACATCAACCGTGATTAGGTCCATGTTGTGTGTGCGCTCTTCTTGGTCTTATCGCTTTGCTCATCCGATTATGATTTTTTTTTGTTTTATGAATTTGAAAAAGAAGCCCTTGTTGTCTCGTGAATGTTGAATTGGGCAAAATTATGAGTGAGACACACTTCTCCATTTATTCTTCCGTTTGCCTTCTATGATCGTTCCAGAACGTTCCTCGACCGCGCGGAAGGCCACTAAACTAAACATGACCACAAATCAGGACACTCTCAACGCCTGTCCGAGGATCCACTCGTTCCACGCTCTGATGTTCTGCGGCAACATAGTCATCGTGGGCGCCCTCGTCTGGGCCCTCACTGCACGGACTCCCGCCAGCGGCAATGGACCAGACGCCGCCATTTCAACCACTCCTACCCAGGACATAACGTACAGGGATAGCAGCAGCTACGTTACACGAACTGGACGCGGAAATGGAGCCACAAGCTGGACTGGGAGTACCGTCCGCGCGATGCCGTTCCATCCGGATTACGACGAGAACGTAACTTACGGCAAACGCAGTCTGAGGTAAGTGTCAAGAATCGGAACTGTCGTTAGTTTAACGACAATTGTTGCCGTTTCGGGGCCATTTTCGACGCACGGGCGGCGTAGAACGCTACACAAACGTGTCGGACGCGCGTTCTAGGCGCCGTAGTATGGACATAGTTCCTTGGAGAGCGTCTGCGACTGGTGTGTTTACCGCGTTTTCAAGAGTGGCCCCTGGATTTTTACTTGATGACGTCAAAGAAATATCGTGCCTGTCGCGATCCTGGCGGCGGCAGAGCAGCAGAGGTGTAGGTGGCAGACGCCTGCTCCGCCGCGTTTTCGACTGTCGTCTCTGCAGCCGACAGTAGATGTGAATCAAAAGAACGACACAAGTTGGGACGCTGCGACGACAGCTACACTTGCGTCCGCTCGCTTTTTTTTTTTTCGTCAGCACTTTCACAACCAGCCGCCAGGGTCGCGAAGTTCAACAGCATGGCATATCGGCTCCTGTGGCGCAATTCGTTGCAACTTTAGCACCACTTTTGAGTCATGGGCGGGGTAGAATAGTAAAGACACCAGTAGAAGACGCGTTTCAGGAAGCGCAACATGGGTGGTAATATTCATTGGACTCTAGATTTGAGGGCACTTACCCTATGCGTACGCTCAGGAAAGGGCTCACACACTTATATCCTGCTGAACCCGACAATCTTTTTGGGGGAAATGCATGTTGCAAAGACACTGTGACAGCTCACCGTCAGCGGGCACTCAAGAGCCACAGACTCGGCTATGGTGAATACCACCCATCAAATTGTGTATAGCTTTGCAAGATTTTTTTTTTTTTTTGCTTTTTAAAATGGCTGTTATAGAAAGACGCAACAAGCGGAAGTTACTGTCCTGAAAATTCCTCAATTTGTTTTATTGTTCTTGAAATTAAAACTGTTATTTTTCTCCCTCAATGTATGTTAGTCTAAAAACTATTTCCTTCCATAATATCCCCAACCAAATTCTGATCTGCAAATGTTACCCATTTCTTTCTTGTCAATGTTCTATGCCAGATTCGCATGATAGTTTAGGCAGTGTAGTTTTTTTTTTTTCTTACCAAAAAACAATTAGACTGGAACGTTATGTGTTAATAGCGCCAGTCTAGCAAGTAGGCAATTGATGTATGTGTTAATTCTGGTGTCATTGCATTTATACTTAGACGAGAAGGTGCGACCAGAATAAAGAGAAAAAAACAGACTAGCTTCTGGGGTTGTTTTTTGTTGTGTTTTTTTTTTTTTTTTTTCATCTTATAATCTATAAGATAGATGCGTCCAGCGAACAATGAACACCGCTCCCTCTTGGTCACGAAACATGCCATTATGTTTACGCTGAGGTGCGTCCTTGCCTTGTGCGTGCTAATAACAATTCATGAATTTATTTGAGCACATTATTCAGCTCAACACTTTTCGCAAATGCAGGAAACCTCTGCCAAGTGCACATTCAGAGAACGTGACCGTACCGCCTATAACATCCTCTACGACAATAATAACTTCGACAACATTAACGATGACTACAACTCCAACCGCAACTTCGACCACAACTCCAACGACAACCCCAACCACAACATCGACCACAACCCCGTCCACAACCACGACAACATTAAGGACCACCACCCGTCGGACCACGACGACCGAAGAAATTCTGTTCTTCTTCGGGTCTAAGCCGCCATCTTACAAGGTCGTCTGCTACTACAACCACACAAGCTTCCGACGACAAACGCCGATGTCCTTCCGGACCGGCCATGTCCCTGTGTCATTCTGTACGCACGCCGTGTACGCTTCAGTCGGAATCAGCGACGACCTCGAACTCATCGCCAAGGAGCCAGAGTTTGATATTGTGCAGGGGGGCCTTATCAAATTTGCTGCCCTCAAGAAGACACATCCTCACCTTACTGTTCTTGCTGCCATCGGGGAAGACATGAAGGACTCGAGGGCTTTCAAGATGATCTCTAAGAATGCCGAGGACAGAAAGACCTTCGCCAAGAATGTCCAATTTTGGTTAAACCGCTTCAGCTACGACGGAATAGTGGTGCACTGGAAACAGTACCACCAGTCACAGGCAGCCCATTACCAAGACGAACTGAACAGAATTGTAGCCACGCTGCGTCAAACCCTAGGTTCCACGCGACGAATCTACATCGGCGTCCCTGACGACCAAGAAATAGCTCACTTCGACCTGGTAACCTTATTCCAAAGCGTGGACCAGTTTTTTGTCTTACCCTATTGGATGCTCCAGGAAGACGGCAGAACCGTAATGAATAAGACGAAGATGACGGCCTTCCCACATCCCCTAGACGACGTCCTGAGGACCAAGCACTCACTCGTTTCCGCGGGAAAGGAAGCACTCTTCCACAAATTCTGCTTTGTCTTCTCCATCGCCGGCAGGTCTTATACTCTTGCTGATGGCAATCACTACGAGATTAACTCGAATGCTTTAGGTCCTGGTAAGCCCGGACCGTTCACTGGGACCCCTGGTCTCTTGGCGTTCTACGAGATCTGTAACAGGACATGGACCACGAGAGGGAAGGGGACCTACGGGTCGTACGCAGTCGAGGACGACCAATGGATCGGCTACCTCGATGCGCCGAGTCTCGAGCGAGTGCTGCGAATGGTGCTGTGGAAGCATAAGGCTGCGTGCGTGGGCATCTGGGACGTGTCTCTTGATGACTTCAGAGGCGTCTGCGGAGATCCGTTCCCGCTGACGAAGGTCATCGCTGGTTGGCACGATCGGAGTGTGGTGTAGATTTCCGCGTAACGAATGCGGGTATGCAAACCACCTTTAGTAAACTCTAGACAAGTTTCAGATGCATGACGGTGTTAGTGCTTTAGCACAAAATGCCATTTTGATATTCTTTTTTTTTTTCAAGGTATTTTGAGAAACTTTTGCCAGTTTTTAGCTTTTGCTATTTGTCACCTAAATTCTGCACCGTGCGTGATCCCCATAATAAAGCTATATAACTGTTGGCGAGGTCTCAGATGTCAAAGGCTACTTGGGCCATTATGTTGCCCTGTGGTACTTCTAATCCAAAAAGATGCAGTGTCTGTAATAATTTTCTTGATTTTACCTTTGTATAGGTATACTTCAAGCTGGAGAACAATATGTCTTTATTATTTGAGAAACATATACGATTGCGTGCTCACTGTAAAGAAGAAACGGTATACAATTTATTGAAAAGTGTGCGCGGTCGAACAAAAACGAAACACGTGCACGACGAAACGTCCGTAGAGTTGCACATGAGGGTACGACACCTCGAAAAGATGGCCGTATCTCACAGAGCTCAGCATGGTCAAATTTAATTATAATCTCCGATATAACAGGGGCTTGAAGCCTTGAACCCTTCCGAAAGAAAGAAATTATCACACGTCTACGCTCCGGGAATGTCAGAGGTCGCGATTCAACCATCTCTCTGATAGGTCGTACGACTCGTCGTACGTTTGTCCTGCAAGTGCGTAGCGCTTTAAGGATCTTTATGCTGGCAGAAGACATTCATCAAATTACCCTGTATCAAAGTGATTTAACTCCCTACCTCATCATTGACCATGTAGGTCATCTTGACCTATCTGGTAAATGATGGCCCTCCATAGTCAATTTTCTCGCTCTCTCTTTTTTCTCTCTCTCTCTCTCTCTCTCTCTGCTTGTCCCCAATATAACCACTTGCAGTGTTTTTCCAAATTATAACCGAATGCATACTTTGTGCAACGCCTTACAGATGCAACTTGAAAGGTGTGATAGTGTTACGAATGACAATTGATGAGGCGACGAATGGCGGAAGGGAACTAGATGTTTATTGGGGCGAACTTGTGCCCAAAACAAAATAGGAGGAGGCTAGCGCCGCAGGCGTCGATGGAGGCGTAACTGCCAGATCGAGCGCTGGGGCGAGACTTATGAACGCGCGGGCCTCTGCAACAATCGGTGTGGAAGGTTCGGCGCGTAGAACATTCGGACCTCGAACGAGCCCAACAGGGTTCTAAAATATACCAGAACGCGACATTTACAGAAATAACAAAAGAACACGTCCGCTTCCCGGCGTCGAACCTTGGCACTTTGCGTGGGAGCCAAGCACGATAACCATTCGGCCACGGGCTCGCTTGCTCGGAGAAGCGCGTGGCAGTAATAGCTTAAAACCGTTTTAGGTAAAACTTACTTTTTCTGAGCATGCATCTGTTACGTTTGATGACGCACTTATGCACGACTTGCACTTACGTCACAACATCTGCCCTTGTGCTGGCCCTGCTTCTGAGCGACTATACCTTCTACAGTCTGCCCTTTGCACCATCACAATGTCTTCTTTTCTTCGGTAAGAACGCGTAAGAAAGACCACCAGCAATGGTGCGCTGATGTCACATGCAAGTTAAGTGCTCATATATTCTGAAATCGCTTCCCTTAGTAACATGCAAATGCTTCCTAGAAATTTTCCAATTCGTTGTTGGACAACTCCAGTATGCAATTACTCCTGAAGAGCGTGCGTTCGATTGTGATGCCTGAAACCACCTTCAGGTCAACGCACTAGCGCTCGATGTCACGATATCTGGTTAGCGGTGCACTTGAGCGCCCGCAACACACTCGGTACATATCGTTATGCCGCTGCCTGTCATGATAATTCGGACTGACCACACAGAGAGAGACAGAACAGCACCAGCGAGCTGGGTTAAGCACGCGCCCCCAACTGGCTGCCCCCTCTCGGGGTTTTATTGAAACGCATAAACGTGATTATTACCACATCCCCCTCTCTCTACGATGGGCTTGAAACTAGTTTCTGAATCTTTGGGGCCGAATGATTCGTCGCCCAGCTCTAGTGAAAGTGTAGGGCTCCTCTTTCCTTGTGCCGGAGTGGATGACAGATTCTTCCGGAACGAGAGCCGTAGCTGGACCTCCCTCTGGGTCGAGTACCTGTTCCGATGTCGGAGTAGATTCTTCCAGACCGAGAGCCATAGGTGGACCTCCCTCTGGGTCGAGTACCTGTTCCGATGTCGGTTCTTTGTCCTTAACGCACGGGGTCTGGACATTCTCGCCTGGATTGATCACTTGTTCGCATATCGTTTCTTCGTCTTCATTGTACCCGGTTTGAGCACTCTTTCTCGGTGTTTCTGCTGGGACTAAATATTAGGTTTTGCGGACGAGTTGTCTAGACGGTGTCTCCACCACGAAGGACCTCGGGTTGTTCGTTTTCCTCACAATCTGCCCCGGCGTGCCAGGGTCTCTGACCCAAACAGAGCCACCGATGGACGGCTCTTGTGGCAGCTTACTCCGTGCCGTTGATTGTATCCTTGGGCCCGCCTTCTTTTCTCTTCCTTATCTTTTCTTCGGAAATCCGCGTGGTTTGGCATTTTCGGCGTTAACATGGATGGCAACATAGGCAAAGTTGTACGTAGTTGCCGTCCCATGAGTAGTTGAGTTGGACTAAATCCGCAGGGGCCTGGTGTAGTTCTGTAGATCAAAAGTGCCAGGTCTGGGTCTTCGGCCTTTTTCAGGATGTCTTTGGCAACTTTTACCATGCGTTTTGCTTCCTCGTTACTCTTGGGATAGTGTGGGCTGCTTTTCTATGCGGCGAATCTGGTACTTTCTTCTGAATTCGTCAAAACTCTTGGACGCGAACTGCGGTCCGTTGTCTGACCTGAACACCTCCGGTATCTCATGGCGGGCAAACACAGACTTTAGGTCCGCCACAATCGCTTCCGATGTTGTTTGCTTCAGCAGACACACTTCTATAAATCTGGAGTAGTAATCTACAACTACAAGGTAGTGCTTGCCGTTCATTTCAAAGAGGTCGGCTGCAACACGTTGCCATGGATAGTCGGGGAGCTCCGATTCTACCATAGGTTCCACTTTTGGGATGCGCTCTTGGATGCAGCTTGTGGAGTTGGTAACCACCTCTTGCAACTGAGTGCTGAGTCCTGGCCACCACACTGACATTCTTGCTCGTTCTCTGCACTTGGATACTCCTTGGTGCCCGGCATGTAATTGGCACAGCACTTTCTCTCTCAATAACTTCGGGATTACTAGCCGATCGTCTTTCACGAGGAGATCGCTCTGTGCCGTGAGGCTGTCCTTATTCCTGAAGTAAGGAGCGATCTCTGGTGGGATGTCCGTCTGAGGCCAGCCCTTTGCACAGTACTCTCTTAACTTGCAACATACAGGGCCTTGACTCTGAGCAGTGCGTACTTCGTCCAGATAGTGACTCGTAGCTGGCAGGCAGCTTGTCACAAGCTGGACGTACGCCTCTAACTCCTCTTCCATCTTCTCACGGGGCTCTACTGGGGATTTCGAGTAAGCATCTGCCGTCCATAAATCCTTCCCGGGTACATGTTCTATGGAGTAGCTGAAACGCATGAGTCTGAGCTTGAACCTCTGGATTCTTGCAGAAATGGTGTTCAACTTTCGGTCACCCAATAACGCAATTAGGGTCTTGTGGTCCGTTTGCACATGAAACTTGGTTCCTATCAGGAACTTTTCAAAGCGTTCGCATGCCCAAGTGACCGCATAAGCCTCCTTTTCTATTTGCGCGTACCTTCCTTCCGTCTCACTCAGTCCTTTGGATGCAAAAGCGACCGGGCTCACCAGTCCTTGTCGATCCTTCTGCAACAGCACTGCGCCTAGCCCATACGCCGAGGCGTCTGCCGACACTATCAGCAGCGTTGTAGCTTCCGTGATGTCTCGCTTCACCTGGTCGAATGCTCCTTGTTGCTGGGCGTCCCAGTTCCATTCTGCGTCCTTTCTGAGAAGATCTCGGATGGGTTTTAGCTTTTCCGACAAGTTGGGTATAAACCGTCCAACCTGGTTAGTCATGCCGATAAACTGACGAACTTCAGTAACGGTGTCCGGTGCCCGGAAGTCCATGATTGCCTTCACTCTTTCGGGGTCTGGTTGGATCCCTTCCGCACTCAGCATGTGTCCCAAGAACTTCAAAGATGTTTTTGCAAACTCGCACTTGTCGTTAAGTGTGATTCCCGCAGCATTCAGTCTCGAAAGGACCTCTTCCTGCCTCTCGTCGTGTTCTTTGAGATCTCTTCCCGTGATCAAAATGTCATCCATGTGACACAACACTCCAGGTATCGCCTCAAGAACTTGACTCATACGTCTTTGGAAGTGCTCAGGCGCCGAGGAGATGCCAAAGGGGAGCCTTTGGAAACAGAACCTGCCAAAAGGGGTTATAAAAGTTGTGAGCAGCTGTGGGTCTTCAGCCAATTTCACTTGCCAGAAACCCGCTTTGGCATCCAACTTCGAAAAAACCTTTGCGCCAGCGAGACGCCCCAGTGTTTCTTCTACCGACGGGAGCACAAGCTTCTCCCTTTCGATGTACTTGTTGAGGTTTGTCAGGTAAACACAAATCCTGACTTCCCCACTTGATTTGGAGATCACCACCATAGCTGAGCACCAGGGAGTCGGCTCTACGACTTTCCTAATAATGCCGTCTTTCTCCATCACCGTCAGCTGAGCCTTGACCTTATCCAACAAAGCCAAGGGCACTCTCCGTGACGTGTTTACTGACACTGGGCTTGCACCTGCCTCGAGTTTGATGTGGTAGTCACCTTTCATTTCCCCGAGACCCTTGAACATTCCTGGGAATTTTTCTTTGTACTTGGCACCTGGGTCTGCTGTAACCGCTTGCAGCAGCTGTAGAATCTTTAGACCCGTACTCGCCCGACGACCCAGCAGAGGTTCTTCCAGCCCTTGGATAACATACATCTCATCTCGGAAGCTGTTGTTTCCACAGCTTAGGGTGGCTTGAACCTTTCCCAACA